AATTGGATGTGTATACCAGATTCCCCATACCTACTAGATTTTATTAATCCGGAATTTATATTACTTAAAATGTTAGCTAGAGGCTTAATTATGTGGGATTATATATTACCCACTAAAGATTGGATAGAACAATTTGTTCCTCAATCTATTCAACGCTATTGTTTAGTAAAACCTAAACCAGGAATGGCTAATCCTGATTTAGAAACCATTAAGTATGTATAAATAAATAATTACATAAATCAATAATATTTTATAAAATTAAAAATTTATTTTTAGTCAAACATACTGTAATATTGTAGCTGGCTGTAGTATGGCAATGGGTTTACGTTTTGCCGGGTCTGCTAATGAAGAAGCTTTTAATACTCTTTTATCTTATTGCCAAATGTTTATATCATTATGTAGTAAGTCAGTTGCTGAACTTTGCGGTAAATCAACGATTGAAACTTGTATAAATGTTACTCTTATATCATTATCTATGGTAAGTTATTTCTACTTATTTTCTTTGAAAATGTAACCAAAATTTCTTGTTAGTTTTGCCATTTTTTTGAGTAATTATATTGAAAAAAATCCTTATTAAATATGAAATTATATTTATTTTATTAGCATTTTATAAATAATTTTAGACAAAGTTATTTTGAAAATTTTTAGGTTTTAGGCTGTTTAAGAAGCTATTAGTTTTATTATTACGCTTATATTTATATTATTAAAAATTTAAGTTTTATGTCAAATAGAAAACAAAAGATAACTTATTATTAACTTATTTTAAAATTTGAATTTGATCTTCAGAATAATATTTGAAACTTCAAATTATATAATCTGTGTTCATTTACTGAACTGTTGCAAATCATCCCCACATGTCTCATTTCAGAGAAAAATGCGTTATTGTGCATGTGTCATACCAATTGATTAATTTTAAAGTTATTATAGTGCTATTTTTTCAATTAGTTTTACTCCTATACGTATGTGTACTAATTGTTTATTTTTCATAAATAAGGTAATAGGAGAGGTATTTTGAATATATGTAGTAAATAAATAATGTGGCTCATTCATTGTTTATAAACATTTTTAAACTTATTTCATTAATTTTTCATTTTAAAAAAACTAATATTATAATTTATGATAGGCCATAACTTATTAGATATTAAGTAATAACTTTCTTGTTCCATTCAGATTATAAAAATACCTGTTGAAATAATCTTTATTTATTTCTTTTATTTAAGGTAATGGCAGGTACAGGAGATTTAGAAGTTTTGCGAATTTGTAGATATTTAAGATCAAGAGTGAGTGTATCGCCTCATAGTGTTATAACTTATGGATCTCATTTGGCCACACATATGGCACTAGGTTTATTATTTTTAGGTGGTGGAAGGTATACTCTTTCAACCACTCCAGAAGCTGTAGCTGCACTTATTATAGCATTTTATCCACAATTCCCTACTCACAGTAATGATAACAGGTAAGAATTAAAATTCAAAGTTCAAATTAGCATTTAATCAAATTGATTTTTATGTATTAATTTCAGATATCATTTACAAGCTTTTAGACATCTTTATATTTTAGCTACCGAACCTAGAATAATATTACCAAGAGACATTGATTCTGGAGATTTATGTTATGTTCATTTAAAAGTTATTTTTCTTGACACTGAATATTACAAAAACCAATATTATACTGTCAGAGCACCATGTTTACTGCCACAACTATCATTATTAAAAGAAGTACGTGTTGAAGATGGTAGATATTGGTCAATAGTGTTTGAACGTGATAGAAATTGGGATAAGCTTGAGTAAGAAAATATTATAATAGACTTATATCTCTTGTGGTAGGGGCTCGTATACCTAATTTTGTTAACTATTTTTATTATCAGTTGACACTTAGGTAAAAGCTTAAATATTATTCGCCTTTACTTTTAATGTCAATTTTAATATATTTATTACCCTTTTCATTTTTTACCTTATTTAAAATTTTATTTAATAAAAATTATCATTTATCAATGTGCTTAAAAATATAAATAATATTTCAAATTAATTTATTACAGAAATATGTTAAACAATGTAAATTGTTTAAATGTCAAGCATAAAGCTGGACATTTATCATATTCAGAAGATCCAAATGGTTACAAATCTCTCATAGCACAAAATCTAAGTTCAAATGATTTTAATTCCTGGACAATTTCTGTAAGTTATAACTTTTTGATTTCTAAAGTTATTAGTTTGAGTTTAAAATATATAGTTAAATAAAAAATATTTTTCAGCCTGAAATTATTTATGGGTTTTCTTCTGATCCAAAAATTGTTCAAATGGTTCGTTATTTTTTAAATTTGACAGGAGATAAAGTTAACAATCCCCATCAAAAAACTGTTACTCGACAATATGCTCAAATATTATTTAATTCAATAGTGCATGATAAAATATTTTTATTACCTCTTTGGATGCCAATAATGAAGGTGTGTAGTTTAACTATTTTTCTAATAAAATAAAATATTAATCTAATAATTATTTTAATTTAGACTTTAAGCAATTTACCTCAACCACCTAGTAGTTTTTATTGTTGGCAATTAAAATTATTCATCGAGGCGGCTAGTACAACTGTTTGTTCCAAAGAAAAATCAAATGATAGATCAAAATTAATTCCAATAATTTTTGCCTCCTCAATTGAAATGACTTGTGATGCTATGATTCAAAATTGGGAAACAGGTGAAAATAATCAAAGTTTAGATTATAAAGTAAATAAGACTAACTAATAACTATGCTTTATTATTTTGGTTTTATAGAAGGGATTTCAGTTAAAATATGTTGGGACTCAACAGATATTCAAAACTCTAAAACTGAGTTGATTAAAAGTGCATATTCTACATTATTGGATATTCCACATAAATCCAAAATACCTGAATTTGGTAAGATTTTAATATAACTTGGGTTTAATATTATAGTTAGTCAACTTAAATAATATTGTTTTTTGTGATATATTTTTCACTAATTTAAATTCATTAAAAATGTAGTTTTTATTAAAAAAAGAATATTTTTATTTTTTATGTTTTGAAATAATAAATATTTAAATTATAATTCTTTTATATTATATTTCTATAATACAATAACTCTATCATAAAAGTGTATACCTCACTTGAATATAATTAGATATTTCAGGAATAATGTAAAAATAAATAGAAAAAATTGCATACATAAATTTAGAATTGTTTTTGCATATTTTTGAATATTTTTAAGTAAGTATAAATAGAATATTTGCTACAGAATATAAATCTGGACTCTACTTATAATCAATAGGTCCAGTACTTATTTAAATTTTAAAGACTATAAATTTAATTGACTACTGGTTCAAACTCTTTTTTGAAACTTCAAGATACTCCAAAAATTATTCTATTTAGAAATATAAAATTAATAATATATATTGTCTTTCAATAAAGTATAAGACTAATAATAATATTTAAGAATAATAATTATTTTCATTTAAATAAATATCTTACATTGCTAGAATCACTAATATGTGTTGTTTTTCTATGTATTAATTAACATTAATCTATTTTTCAGCATTGACAGACCCACATTTGTTGTATGAATATACCAAAAAGCATTTTTTATCATGGGAAACAATTAGTAAAATATGTTCATAGTTTTAGTATTATTTTTTGTATCTATAGGTAATAGTTGTACAACATTTTGTATTTATTTAAATACCTAATTAATTTTTAATTTATGTTTTTTTTTTTTTTTAAATATATTATAGTTTAAATATAAATAAAAATAATAAACATTATTTTTAATTACTAATAGTATTTGAATGTGTGTGTGTTTTTTTTTTTTTTTTATTATAAAAATATATTTATTCAAATGAATTATAAAATCAGAAAATTGAATAATAATATATATTTAAAGTAGTTTAAATATAAACTTTTCCATTTTAATGGTAAATCAAATTAAATTTTAAATTTACTTTAACTTTTATTTTCTGGTTTTATTTTTATTTAACTTATATTGAAGTGTCCTATTTAACATTCTATGGAAAAAATTAAACATAAGCACATAAATCCATTAAAATTTCTGATCGGCTTATTTTTTTAACATCAATATGAATTTATTATAAAAGTTATATTTTTAACAATTTTGGGAGCTTGGCTCCCTAAATCTTTTCCCATGCAAGCCATTTCTGCCCATATTCTATAATACTTAATTGAAAGCCTTAATACTCTATTTGCTTTCTAGTCTGTATAGTACTTATAGTAGCTAATTGTCTTGACTATCTGTTTATTATAAATTATAATTTTTAATCAATTACAAATATATTTTAATGGCTGCTTCCTAATTGGTTCCCAATAAAAACAAATTAGAAAAAGATATTTTGTTTATTATTATTATTTATTTTATACTTTTTAATTAAATATACAAAATACATTTATGACAAAAACTACAATTTTTAATAACCTGGGAACCAATTCAGTTATACCCTTTGTAACAATCCAGGAACCGATTCGGAAAGGTATGTCGATTTTAATACAATATGTGTATTGTGTATGTCTCACACCCTATGAATTAAAAAAAAAATATCTATGTTTTTACTTTGATTTAACCATAGAGTAATATCACATTATTCATGTTAACTTAAATCAAAGTTTTAATATTTTTGTAAGTAGTACAAGTAAATGGTCGGCGAAAACAATGTGTCAATGTGCGAATGTGCCATGCATTATTTTGTTACCCATGTAAGTTCAATATTGTATTTTTCTAAACTGTTCTCATTGGCCACACTGGAATATAATCTGGTAATTTGGTATTCTGTTAAACACGTCTAGCCGATCAGCAGGGTACTACTACCATATTTATTATGTATTATTATTTAGAATAATATTAGTCTTGTCTGATAACACGGTTATGTGTAAATGTGTAATTGAATTTCTTGTCAATTCATGAAAATAATATATTTATTGTTACATTTTTAAATTTTATTTTTATTTATTCGTTTTTGTTAAGATTTTTTATATTTAATAGTATTTAATTTTATTTATTATTTTACGTCAAATAAATTGTTACATTTATCAATATTTTTTTTTTTAATTAACTAGTCATTTTTACACACAAATTCAGCGTTTTTATTTTAAATTATATTTTCTAAGTAAATATGGAGTGTAGTTTAGCCTCAACATATACTAGTAGTTCTGCAAAACCTTCTAGTGCTGTTTCGGGTAATAGAAGCCCAGCAAAGTCTGGTTTACATGTCAATTTTACTGAAAAAGTAGAAGTAAAAGAAAAAAGAGAAAAGTTCTTAACAGCTAAGTATGGTGCCCATCAAATGAGCTTAATAAGAAAACGTTTAGCAGTTGAAATGTGGCTGTTAGAAGAATTGCAAAAACTGTATGATTTACCTAAAGTAAGTAATCATCAATTATTTGATAATTTCTGATATACCTATCTAGTAACAATTAACAAAAATATTTTTACTGATACATAATTCATAATATTTTATTATACAGCTAGATAGAAACTAATGTTATAATAATCATTATTTTTGATTTTAATTGTTTATTAGGTAGTTATCGAATTCAATTCTGATTTAATAAAAGTTATGAATTACTAAGCACATACTAATTGTTAAATTAATTATTAGAAAATGTTTTTTCTTCTATAGTATACCTATTACCTATTAACTATTGAATATTAATAATGTAAAAATAAATATATTTTACCTACATCTCCATGTCAGTATATTATATAAAATAAACCTAAAGTACTATCTTATATAAATTATAATATTAAAATACGAATTAAAAAAAAAAAAAAAATTAAAAATGATTTTAAATATCTATTCATTTATTTTTTTCTGAAAAAACAATTTCTTTGATTTTAAATTTTCACATTCTCGAATATATTAAATATTTGTTTTATATCAAAAGAAATATTCTAAAGTATAATATTAGTTACCTAAAATTAGTATAACCAATGCTGTATATAACTTTATTATTTCAGAGATTCCAAAGTCTTACTTTTATTATTACGATCAAATATTGTTCATAGACTTAAAAATTAAATTACCACTTTGTAAGGACGTATATAATTTTAAATTATTATTTTGATAATTGTATTGTTCAGAAGCAATTACTTTTTGTAATCTTTTGTTCGTCTGAATCATAGAAGCATAACAATAAATAATAATAGCTTTCTCTACTGTACGTTTATATTTAACTCTTTTTAATCCGTGTGTAAATTTATGCTAAGTTTTTGTGTGAAATAATAATTAGTGAAACACTTTGAATTACTGTTCAAACAAATATCAGCAAAATTAAAATTCATTGTATATAATACACTTATTTTATGAACGTATATTTAACATTTAGTGATTATTTTTTATTTATGACTCATTATGGTTGACTGACCTCTGAAAATTCCTAAATATTATTGACTGAACTCCAACTAAAACCAGTTATCCATATAGTTCATAATTCCTAATAACCTGTATTGTAAACAAATTAAATTGTTTATTATTATTTATTATATCAGCAATCTTTAATTTTATTACAAGTTTGAAATTTAATAGTTTATTAGTTTTCAAGATAATTATAGATTAGCTTGTTTACGAAAAATATTTTTTTTCTTATCAATGAAAATAATTTTGTTTGGTTAGTAATTAATAATTATATTTTTATTTTTTTTTTAATTTATTTAAAACATTTTTATGATATATTTACTTATTAGTTATTAGTATTAACTATTTAAGTTTAAAAACAATTTGAAATTTAATTATTAAAATTTATTAAATGTCAAAGTACATAACAATATTTTTTCCAATAAATTCGTAAAATTACGTTTTTAATCTAAATTCTATATTAGAAACTAGGAGACCAAGTTATGATTATAAGAGATGCTCTTTATATTAATTTATCTTTACTAAATTTGTTCCAGCTACTTATAAATTAAATAAATTAAATAGTTTCAAGTTTTATGTAATTTCATAAATAAGATCTTATCAATTCTATATTTTAATATTATTTTTATTTTTATTTTTTGATAAGTGAGGTTCCGATGTATTATACTTCAAAGTTAATATTGAATACCTACTCAGTAGTATACTTACTCTATACGCCATACGTGTCATAATTTATAACTTATAACTATTCATAAATTCAATGAAACATTTTCATGTTTCCTTTTAGATTACATTACGTAACTTGTGTCTACTATATTCTACTGTTATTGTATATGTACAATTATTTTACTTTTCTTTTGTACTTATATAATAAAATAGTATAAAGAATTGTCATATTTTTAAGGTGTCAGGCACTATTGATTACGTCATTACTTATTGATTTGGCGCTTATAACTTTTTTCAATGTCATAAATTTCTTGACTTTTAAAAATAAAAAGGTGTTCGAATGAGTATCATTCTGACTTCTGCCGTACATTAGGTGTTGAATAGGTAACTGTAATGAATGTGTCAAATTTTAATTTAATGATAGTAAATATCTCAAATTATATTTCACGATATGTTTTTTTATGTAAAGTACCTAATTTATTTTAATATTAATATTACAGCGTAGATTGAATTTATTTTCCTGAAAACATTAGGTACACTTAAAAATTTAATAATATCCATACATTTTTATGTCCACATTAATAATGTTTTTGAACTAACTAATAATGAATATCGTTTTTCATAGTTCAAATATATAATTTCGTACATATCTGAACTAAAAAAAACTGTAAAATAAAAATTATGCTAATATATTTTTATATTTTTAGTGTCAGTATAAAATACTTACGAGGAACTCTATAATAAATTTTTAAGTCTTAGCTATAAATATTGCACATTTTCAATTCATAGGTGGATATATGATTGAATTGTAAGGGAGCTTAAATCTTTCTTTGCATTGTTGCAAAACAGGTATTTATTTAATACTTTGAAAAATACTCAATGATTTTGGAGATTAAGCCCCCCAAAGCACTCCTAAATCTCCACCTATGTCTTAACTGTAAAACAATTTACAAAAGTTCGTGATTTCGAGAAATTGTGGTAGTCTTAGATAACAAAATTGTGATGTTGTCAAAAAACAAGGTAGTCTCGTATAACAGGAAAGTACCGAAGTTCATATTCGAACCATCAAATCTAAAAAAATTATAAAATAAATTATTTTTCATAAAAATTTTAAGTTTCAATTTGGACGAAATTACTTATTTAAATGATAAATAACAATAGTTTGATTATTTTATCATTTAAAAACATTATTCGTGGAAATTCAAACTTTTATTTAATTTATAATACTATGAATTTTACTATACGCAATAACATTTTTATTTATTTTAAAATGTCATCTATCTGTAAGTACTATAAACTTTATTTTATTGTTTTATGTTACAAATATATATTATTATAATCATAGACATATGTCTATGGTTATAATAATTAAATAGACTGTTCCCACTCAGAATTGTTTTTCGTATACATTGATATATCATTGAATTCAAATTTAAAAGATTTATAATAATGACCCAGTCGACACCTAATATATATATATAGATACAGCAGATTGGTACTCACTAACTTACCTTTTCTTATTGTTAACATATGTTTTAAATATTTTCATTTGTTAAATTATGTCATACAATTTGAATATCATGTTCCAAAGTAGCCATGTTTAAGTCTTAATAATTCATTATGAATAATTTAAGTATTCAAATTTGATTTAACTTACAAAATAACATACAATTATTGTATAAGGTATATCTGAAATAAAATGTGTAGGTACACAACTCACAAATATGTATTTTTATGTTACCAGCTAATTAAGACTTGAGTAATTATTAGTATACAAGTATTTGAAGTTTAGATAAATAAACGAACATGTGGATTAACATTTTTCTAGAATCCCATGTACCTCACTCCACACCGTTCATCAGCACTTTAATGACGAATTAATAAAAAAATTCTAGTGTCTAGTTCGAAATTGATTCTTATATTTTTATATTTAAGTTCTCAAAAAATTATTCTTATTCAGATAATTCTTTTAAAATCATTAGATACGTTCAGTTTTCATTCATAAGTTTTATATGTAGGTTCGTACCAACTTGTAAGATTTAAACTGTTGGTTTTGTAATTAAAAAGCAAATATTTCTACATCCTATCCTGTGTGAAAGTATATAATTTTAAACTATAGGAAATATATTTTTATAAAACAATTTTATTAATAATAAAAAAATCCATGGCACTTTGTCAATTTGTATTTTACATAAATACACCAGTCTCTGACCTAAGATATTAAATTTAAGTAGAAACTAAGAGAGTTGTTAATAGTTAAAAATACTTATTCTAATACGTAATAAATAAAATAGTATGAATTATACGATTATACTTACATTTATTTTATTTTTAAATGATATAGATCCAAAACAATCTTACAGCATACTTAAAACTTTAAAATAAGGATAAATATACAAGATGCAATACTGTACAAATAATAGTGAAGTGCTAATAAATGAACCTAAAAATATCTCTATGTTTAGAAGTTTTCGATCATTTTGAGTGTTTCCAAAAAACGATTTTAATGGTGTTTGAGCGGTAATGCTCTATTTCTGATGATATTTTATAGTTATATAACTATTAATTTTTGGAGTGGCAGCACTGAGTAACTTTCCTTTTGGAATTTATTTTGCTATTTGTAGTACGACGTCATGTCAATTAACATCTGATAAAATTATTTCTTCGTGTAATATTATATCATGCTCATACATACATTTCTAGAACAATAAATTCCATCTTTTTTTTTTTGTCTATTTTTATGATTTTTTAAAAAAAGTTTAAATGCAAATATAATTGGTTTTAAAAAATATTTCGAAAATCCGAAACGTAGTCGTCTAGTAGAACTTCTTAAGTTTATTTGAGTAAAAAAACCATATTTCTACAACTAACAAGGATTGAGGAAAATAGGAAGTACGAAAGTATGTTTTTAGGTCGAATTTTGTTAGCAGAACGGCCTTTTAATAACTATAAATATATAAGTCCATCCGTTTACTGTAAAACTGTCTAAGTTTAATTTTGTTCGTAGTGTAGTCAATATTCTCTGAATGTTTTGAAAAATACATTGTGTATAGAAAATAATATTAAACGTAATAGCGATATTTTCAAGTGTATGTGATTTAAATTTTTTGAATCCATTATAATAACATTAATAACAAATAGTTTGAAAATAGATAGTCATTAAACGTTTTATATGTAATGTAATCAAAATTTAAATATCAAGCACTGGTTACTTTACGCTAAACTACTTTTTAAACCATAGAAAAATAACATATTAAATAACCTTGTATTATTTATTCAAGTTGTTTGACTTATTACAATTTTATTTTAAATAAATTTAAAAAAAAATTATTTCTATACAG